ACGGTGAAGTAGCTTCATAGTACTTCAAATGGTACCTTAGATAGATTAAAACTAAATTATCATAGTATTGGGTAAAGAACCTTGGGTTCAAATGATACCTTAAAGTCTAAGAATCAATCATTTGGTGGTATGATTATAGATTAGATTTGATCTAAATGGTACCATACTTTAGAGCAACGACAATATGTAACAAAGAGCAGTTCATATATGATTAAAATATTTCATACCAACAAGTGAAGAAATTGTGAAATTTGTTAATTAATAGAGTAGTCCAACAAAGGCTACTCATATTATTATTATGGACTACTCATAACCGGCAATAAAAATATTATCATTTCCTACTTTTCTTTGTCTGCAAGTTTTTTTTTATTTCTAGTGAGACTCTTGTTATAGACGGTGGAACATTATTATGAGAAAATAATACTATAATAGCTATAAACTAGTCACGTGAGCCTATGTATATGACTATTTAGTTACATCATGGTTGCCCTTGAATTCAATTTCCTCTTTTTTTTAGAGGTATAAAATCTTGAAAGTTATATTCGGGTTTAAAATTTCAAATCAAATTAGTAACTGTAGCCGTTTGCGTAACACATACATACTCCTACGCGCCACGGGGTGTGTCTCGGACTCTAGGTTGGTGCACGAGAGCAGACGCCACGCGTACCAGCCAATCCGGAGCCCACACGCGTACCCGCCACGTCATCCATGACCCGAAGCGACGAGCCTCCTTTACGCCGCTCTTGTGTGCCCACAAAGTAACCTGTTAACCCGATGGGTGTCGGGTTTGTTTAAACACCAACAACTGACGTGCGGGACCCGCGCGCACCACGCCGGCCCCACTCCTCCGTCTCCGCGTCCGTTGTCGCGCCGTTTTTCCGAATCTCCAGGCAATTATAGCCACCCGCCGCGGCGCCGCCTTCCGCTTCCGCCTCGCGGCAACGGCCTGCCCTATACGCCGCCACCTGATTTGTTCGTGCCCTCGTGCGGCATCACACAGATTCCCGCGTCCCGCCGTCGGCGACTCGGCGTCCTGCTGGTTGAGGCACGGCTGCGCGAGGAGTGCTCGTAGCCGCCCCCCGCGCCCAGATTCAGGCCGCACCGTCTTCATAGGTGAGAGCTCTCTTCACGCTCGCGATTCCTTTCCGTCGTTTACGGGTCGGTTCGTAGGATCCCACGGGGTTTTAGGATTATTCTAGTTCGAGCCACCTGCGTGGTCCACTCCAATCTAGCTGTGTGCGTTTGTTTTGGTCAGAGTCTTAGAGATTGGGTGATTTTGTGTTGTGTGCGTTTGTTTTGGTTAGAGTCTTAGAGATTGGGTGATTTTGTTAGATCTGATCTCGTGAGCAATTCAATGTATATTGCGTGTTTGCTTGTTCTGCGCTCTCACCCAGCAAGCGTATACACAGGTGCTTCTAGCCTTTTGGGTTAATAGAACCCTTGCTCTTTGGGCTAATAGGTGGTTATTATGCATTGACTCAGCGGTTAGTGTTGGTTATGCATTTCTGATGCCAAATGTCGGTGTCACTAATGAGTTAATGTTCCTCGACTTTTGATTTTCCTGGTTTCTGCTGTTTTGAGGCATTAGGCATTATTATACTTGTAGCATTAGGCATTATTATACTTATAATTTATCTGCTTGAAGATTCCTGGTTTTGCCACTGTTGCTGCTATGTCTATAGACTAAAGTTTCTGATTCTCTGTTTTAATGCAGGCCAATTGATTTGTTCTAAAATTTTTATTCCTAAACATTTGGCAATGCTCCTGCTTATCCTGTTAGGTTGCTTGCCATTTTGCTTGCCCACTGATGACTGATGACTAATGTCCACATAATCAAACTGTCAGCAACTACAGGGCTTCTTCTGAATTTTAATTACTACTCCCTCCGTTTTAAATTGTAAGTCGTTCTTTTCTAGATACATAGCTTTTGCTATGCACCTAGATATACATTGTGACTAGATACATAGTAAAAACTATGTACTAGAAAAGCCAGAATGACTTATAATTTGGAATGGAGAGAGTAAATATTAGTGTGCTATAATAACATCATATATATGTATATTTGGACAATTGTCGTTTCAAATTATACGTGTTACTGAACTAGCCTGTTATGGACATATGGAACTCTCCTTTTGCGCTTTTATTTGAATTTAAAACTGAGTGTCATGTGTTGGGTGGCTTCGCTACTTATTAGAACATTATAGCTAAGATTGTGTAAGATATGTTGTCATGATCTCTGGACCATCTGGGCAGCTGTGTTGGCCCAATTAATATCTAGTATGCTTTATTAATTCTACAACTGTTTATTTTCTTAATAGGTAACTTGGATGAAAAAGTATCTGAAAGAGTCTTGTATGAGATTCTTATTCAGGCAGGCCATGTAGTAGACCTACATGTACCCAGTGACAAGGAGAGTAATAGTCGCAAAGGTTATGCTTTTGCTGAGTATGAAACTGAGGAAATTGCGCAATATGCTGTTAGGCTTTTCTCAGGACTTGTTCGGATCAATGGTAAAACGCTTAAGTTCGTGGTAGGTTTTCATTTCTATCTAGGTACATTACCTGTGTATAATATTCTGTCTACATGCATTACTTGTGTATAATATTCTGTCCACATACATTACTTGTCTATAATCGCAGGACCACTGCTTTTACCTAGGCAACTAGCTGTAGTACAATGACAGTTCTTACGTTATCTGTCATACTATTTGCAGAAATATTAAAATTTGCCTCAAGTCCCTAGTTTCTTCCATCTCCTTCAAATCACGTGCAACTTGTTACGTAGTTATCTTTATGTCATCAAATGAAACCAGGCTCAGACATCTATTTTCTTGTTATGTTTTTGCAGATTGCTAGTCATGACAAACCGTCTTCAAATGGCAATAACTCAGTAATGATAAGCCAGTAATGCCTAAGCTCAACCCTATACCCTCTTCAAATGGCAATAAGCCAGTAATGCCTAAGCTCAACCCTATACCGGTACCAAAACAGACTCAAATCATGCATTGTAGTGATATGCCTGTGTCTCGTACCCCAGCATATCCGGTGGTAAACGGGAGGATTGGAGGTTATGTTTTTTCTCCCACTCCTTATCCATATGGTTTTCACCCACAAGGTGAGATACTTTCCTGAGCCTGTTAATACATGTTCCAAACTGCACAGCTATTAATGTAAACTTGATCATCATATCTCTCCTCTTTATGACCAGCTTTATCAGGTGGACCAGTACACAGCCATGGCCAGGTAAGCAACAGTATGTATGATTACAATAGGCAGGGATTTGGTTCTGTTCTGAACATTGCCCATAGAGGTCATGTTATGAATGCCTTTGCCCATGGAGCTGCAAATCAGCCAATCGTGTACCCATCCTAGGTGCAGAAGAATGTAGTATGTTGAGAGTAGGCAGGTTCCACATAGGTTCTTGACACCTCAATATTTTGGTAACGCCTACATTGTAGTACCTCGTAGTCGTATGCCCAAGCATGTAAGCCCTTGTTTAGTTGGGTGAATTTGGATTTTGGGGCTACTGTAGCACGTTCGTTTTTATTTGGCAAATAGTGTTCAAACATGGACTAATTATACTCAAAACGTTCGTCTCACAATTTCCCACCAAACTGTGCAATTAGTTTTTATTTTCGTCTACCTTTAATGCTCAATGCACGGGCCGTAAACATTCGATGTGACAGGTACTGTAGCAACTTTTTGGACTTTGGGGTCCAACTAAACAAGGCGTAAATATGGTTATCATATCCTCTAGATCTTCAGAAGAACGCTGCATTATCCTTGAAGGCAAAAATCCTGTCCTGTTGTGTTCTCCATTGTTCCAACTCTGAAGCCAGCAGATGTTACTTATAAAAAGAGAGTGAAGTCCTCTGTTATGTTCATGCCAGCCACACTAGTGAATCTAACACATTCGGATTGGATTGCTGGAACAACAGGAAGTTCCTGAATGTAGACATGCCCAATTAGTTTTGTGTTGACATTGCAGACTGAAAGCGAACTAAACGGAAAAAAAAAACCTCAGTTGCAATCTGGCGCTTAATATTTTAATTCTTGCACTAGTTATCATGCAATGGTTCTGTGTGTCATCTTTCACTGCTAGCAAGATCTTAGTTGGCATTTGGCCTTTATTTTTTGAGTTAGGTGAGGCGGATTGATAAGATTGCCCGGTGCCTGAATATATAGCCTGTTTTTATGTTTGACGAGTCTGATAGTTTCTTTTATTAGTGCAGTTCCACCTTTCATCTTATGTGTAACTCTCGTAAGTCGTACTACCTTTCATCTTATGAATAAGTGAGGTCACTGTCCGAACTACCACCAACTAGGCTTGAGCTAAGTGATGACAAGCAACCTGTCTTCTCGCCGTTGCTTCACTAACCATAGCATTCCATTACTCTGTTTCGAACCTACTAGCCTACCAGCATCCTCGTAAGGAAAAAAACGAGATGGTAACTGAGGGCATACCACTTTTTTTAGACGACGTGTATCGCACTGAGGCACTTTTTCACTCACCTGACCCAAAACTGTTTTATTCTGGAACGAGAACTGTCTACAGCAGAAACTACACACTATCATCGTTTTGGGCACCTTGGAGGCTTCTCCAAGGTCAGAACGACACTTCAAGCCATGAATCAGAATGGCATTCCTCTCCTCTAAGTAAAGTTTACCTGTATGCACCCCAGCTCCTCTACTGACCCAGCATCTAGGGCTTCGTTGCTTCTCTCCTTGTGTATTCCTTGGCCACCAAAGCACATATCATTTCCGGTGCGGCTGAAACCATTTCTGCATAAGTAATGCAACTCCCGATTGCAGCAGCTTTCTTCTGCACCGTTTCTGCCCCTCAACCTTTTTGCGTCGCAGCAGCAGCCTTTGCACCTCGGACCGATTTGAAGCTGTCCTCTTTACAGCCTCAGCGAACAAGAGCACCTGTTCGTCAGCCTCGACTGAGCGTGCACGACCTCGCACCGATCAGAGGCAAGAACTCACACCGGTCGTGTGCCGATGGAGGCGGAGGCCGATGGGATGCAGGAAGCCACCGCAGGCGCAGGAGACGCCGGCGTGGACGATGTCTTCTTCTGTGTCGCCGCGACGTCCAGGGGCAACAGGAAGAACATCTCCTGCTTCCATACCAACGCAGTCGGCGAGGACGCCAAGTCGGCCCTCGCGCTCGCCGCGCTCTGCCTCGACCACGCCCCCGAGCACCACCGGTGGCACCACCACACCGTCGACGGGGCGAGGACGTTCGCGTTCCTCTCGGCCGACGACGGCTGCACGTACTTCGCCGCGGCCGACCCAACTCCTGGCGCCGCCGAGGTGGTCCGGTTCCTGGAGCGCGTCCGCGACGCGTGCGACGCCGCGCCCAGGAAGCGCCTGCGCGACGAAGCGGTGGCCCCCGTCGCGCGCCAGTTCGCGAGGACGCTGCTGCGGACCGCGGCGGGTCCGAGCTCCGGCGTGGCGGACGCGGAGCTTCCAGGAGCATCGCTGCAAGATCAGGAGCCGTCCACGCCGCTGGCGCCGGCCTGCGAGAAGGACGAGGACCACCAGCGGGCTGGAGAGCGACGTCGCGCCTTGCAACCGAGGGAAAGCGCGCTTACGGGGTGGCGCTCGTGGTGGCGCCACGCGGCGGTCGTGATCGTCGTGGATGTGGTGCTGTGCCTGGTGCTGTTCGCCGTGTGGATAGGGGTGTGTAAAGGCTTTAGGTGTCTGACGCGATGAATCGCTCAAGCGTATGCAATTGTAATCACAAATATCACATCCATGCTGTGCATGGTTTGCGTTCTTTGTGTTTGCTTGTCAAATATCACGTCTACAATTTGTAAAAGATCGATTTAGAAACGAAGATTCATGCCTTCAACAATGCACGCATTCATCACTCGAGCCGGGACTCAGCCCTGCACGTTTGCAAAATGCAGAAAAGTTGCAAGTTCATGCATGGCAAGCATCACATGTTCTTCGACAAAATCCGATGCACGCATGTGAAGTAACTCCAAAACAGAGATGTGGTAAATCAGTGCCTTCTGATTTCTGAAATACGACTCAACCTAGGTTTGTCTTAAATAAAATTATTTCAACTTTACTCCCTACAATCACAAGGTGAACCCCGGCAGGGGACACGTGACACGTCACCCGAATTGTGTCCACCGTTGGATTTTGAGATCAACAGTCCTGGTTGCTCCCACCGATTCCTACAGTGCATGCCTTGAAATTTCTGCTCCCACCGCGTCCGCTGCCTCTTGTCACCTCTCGAAGCCTCCCGTCGTACCGTAAAAAAAAGGAAAGCAAACACCGTCTCCCTCGACCTCTCCGCGACGCTCGCCACCCCCTTCCCGCAATGCGCCCTCCTCCTCCCCTCGCGTCGCCGCATGCGAGCGGGCCAACGCTGCCGACTCACCGCACGAGGCCCTGGCGGACCTGCAGCGCGACGCCGCGTGTGGCCACCGACGTTGGCCGTCCTGCCCACGGCGCAGCGCGACCGGGCCCTACTGGTGGCCGCCGGCGTCACTGCGACCCGGTGCTTCCTCCTCCCGCAGCGCTGCGTGTCATCCTAACGAAACCCTAACTTCCTGTGCTCCACGCCGCGACCGCCCAGCGCCGGTACCACCCCCGGTGGCGGCGCCCTGTGTGGAGACGATCCCTAAATTTGTTTGCTTTCTTCTCTCAGATCCCTACAGCAGTACGTGAGATGACAATGACCCCTACAGTAGCCTGCGCGGTAAGCTAGCTCTAAATCTGGATCAGAATCTCATCCGAATTGTCTTATCCATGCTACTGATTTATGCTGAACATATGCCATTGCCGATGATGTAGCCATTCCAATTTTACCATATGTCAATACCTGTGATGTACCATGCCTATGCTACTCATTTATGTATTTAGTCCTCATGATATGCCATTGTCGATGCACGTGCCATTGCTGATGGTGTATTGGAAAAACAATTTTACCATGACAGTGCCTGTGAGGATAAGTCTGACCATATTTCGATGCCATTACTATTTGCCAATTTTTTTTGTCGAACATATTTCACTTACAGTCAGAATATGTCATATGAGAATACGCAATTATGATTATCATGTGTGTAGAACTTCTTAAGCTGTTCATCTGCTAGCCAAAGAACTAGGCCGCAAAACATTTGGGCAACTCTGTACATTGTTGAAACCCGTGTTTTCTTCCCTACAAAATCAGTTTCATGATTTACATGGATAATGCGTCTTTATTGTTTTTGTTCAGTAAGAACTGCACCTTTGCTCAGCCCTCAAATGGAACCTTGTCCTATTTACATGGATAATGATCTCTGTTAGTTGCACATGTCTAAATTCAATCCTAGACTGATTATATTGTGTACCTTTAATTATATGCCGCCACCAATAAGAGGTGTTTCCAAAGCCTGTGCTTTTAGCGCCAGCTTCTGATATAAGATCACACTCCCAAGGACAAGGTCTTGTCCGTTTGTGGATTCCATTTCTTATACTTAATCTTTTTTTTGGTGCAGATTCTTCATGACATTTCGCCATTCTTCCAGACTATTTTCATATTAAATTCTAGGTTCGACATATAATTTTTGGTACATTCTGCTAGTCTTTGTTACTGACATTATTCACAGTACTGCCACTAAAGCATTCTATGAAATTAAGTGGAGGTGCTGTTTTTCTACCCTATTGGTCGTTCAGGTGAGAGGTCCTAAAGGCTAGAGGGGGTGAATAGCCTATAAAATTGTCTACAACAACGCTAAACAAAATAGTTAGACAGTTATGAGGCAAAGCAAATGTTGCGCTAGCCTACTAAAATGCAAGCCACCTACCACAATTCTAGTCTCTATGATCTCTAGGCACACAAAGGCCACACTACACTAAGTTAGTGAGCTCTCAATGACTAACTAAAAAGACTCATTAACCACTAGATACAACACAAGCTATCTCTCAAAACTAATTATACTAAAGAGCTTAGCTACACTATGAATGTAAATACACAAGTGGTTGAGATGTTTATAACGCCGTGTAGAGAGGTGTGCCAATCACAAGATGAAGTCAATCAATTACAATAGAGTCTCGGTGACAAGAGGTGACACAATGATTTTTCACCGAGGTTCACTTGCTTGCCGCCAAGCTACTCCCCGTTGTGGCGATACACTCACTTGGAGGTTCACGTGCTAATTGGCATCACACGCCAAACCCTCAATAGGGTGCCGCACAACCAACACAAGATAAGGATCACACAAGCCACGAGCAATCCACTAGAGTACCTTTTGACACTCCACCAGAGAAAGGTCAAGAACCCTTTACAATCACCACGATCGGAGCCGGAGACAAGTACCTTCCTTCGCTCGACGATCCTCGCTACACTAAGCCGTCTAGATAGCGGTAACCACCAAGAGTAACAAGTGAAATCCGCAGCGAAACACGAATACCAAGTGCCTCTAGATGCAATCACTCAAGCACTGCACTTGGATTCACTCCCAATCTCACAAAGATGATCAATTTATGATAGAGATGAGTGGGAGGGCTTTGACTAAGCTCACAAGGTTGCTATGTCAATATAAAATGGCTAAGAGAGAGAGAGCTTGAGTCGGCCATGGGGCTTAAATAGGCCCCCTCGAAATAGAGCCATTGGGCTCTCACTGTAGCCCAACTCGGGGCGACTGGACGTGCCGGTCAGATCAACCGGACGCACCAGCCCCAGCGTCCGGTCACCGATCGCCGTCCACGTGCCCCCTGCGTTCAACCTCGCGCGTACGATTTCAATGGTCAACTCGCTTCCTCACGCGTGTTAAAGAACGACCGGACGCACCACAGTTCAGGACCGGACGCGCCAGTGCTCGCTTCATTCCGCGCGCGCCTAAGCCTTCACCCTATGACCGGACGTGCAGCTCACGGCCACTGTGCAGCGTCAGGTCGACTCCAGAGAGGTTCCAAAGAGGCAAAATCGTGACCTGACGTGCTCAGCGTCCGGTCCTCTCTGGTCAGCTCCTCCACGTTGCGTCAGCGTACGTCAGCAGGGACCGGACTCACCTGCCTGAGCGTCCGGTCACTTCTTGACCTACGTCTGATCACTGTTTCACAGTGACAATCACATCCTTCACTTCACCAACTTCTCCACCCTTGCTCAAATGTGTCAACCACCAAGTGTATCACTTTGTGCACGCGTGTTAACATATTTTCACAAACATTTTCAAGGGTGTTAGCACTCCACTACATCTAAATGCATATGCAATGAGTTAGAACATCTAGTGGCACTTTAATAACCGCATTTCGATACGAGTTTCACCCCTCTTAATAGTACGACTATTGATTCTAAATGTGATCATACTCACTAAGTGTTTTGATCACCAAACCAAAAAGATCCTATCAAATTTCACCTTTGCCTTGAGCTTTTTGTTTTTCTCTTTCTACTTTTCCAAGTCCAAGCACTTGATCATCACCATGGTCACACCATCATCATGATCTTCATCGTTGCTCCGCCACTTGGAATAGTGCTACTTATCTCATGATCACTTTGATAAACTAGATTAGCACTTAGGGTTTCATCAATTCACCAAAACCAAACTAGAGCTTTCACCAGGTGAGTAAATAGGTATTTCAGTTTCATTTTTCCTTCCCTGTAATGTTATGTTACATGTTCTTTTTGAGTAAAATGTCAGATTCTTTGCCTTGCCATTATAGTCGCCACAAAGTATATACATAGGTCCAGTGTGTTGCGTCAACTTTTTGCAAGTACTATTTTATATCAGTTTATTGGGATCAATTGTTGATGGTGAAGTATCTCGGTATACTTTAGGCTTATTTGTGTTTATGGTTACCTGTCTGTAACTTTGACAATGCATTGTCTTTGCTATGTCAGTTTGGTTATAAAACCGGAGTGAATTAACAAAACCTCCTACAAGATCCAGAACATCTGATCCTTATTTCTCTACTAGGTATTGACTGGAATGTTGCAACAACATATGGTTTTCTACGCAAGTGTGGTCTGATAGATAATATATGCTTCAATATTTTCTGGATGTGAATATATTGTCAGGAATTTCTACAAGTACAACTTCTATCAGTTCAACCATTTGTTTCTGAAAGTTATCTAAAAGCACCCTTTTTTCCTGTATCACATGACACATGAGAGTTCATGATTAGTGTTGACTGCAGCCATGGTACTTTATCTGCACATAGGTAGATCTTTTTAGGCTATCTAACTTCAGTTGTATAATAACTTAAGTGCATGGTAAATCTACAGCTGCCATCGTCAACTAGAGACTGCATGGATTAATGGGCTGTGTGGAAATACCAGTGCAAACACTAGCGGTCCTCAAATTTGTATGTGCCACTGCATAACTCATTTACTTGATTAGTAAGCATGCGACCAGTATTATTTTCTGTGTTATACTGAATTCGTTATGCAGTGGTTTTTGGTACGGTAGTCCATAGACTCATTGATGCCCTTTAAAATGTTCAGCATGTTTGTTCTCTAGATTCCAAAATAGCAGCCTATTTATTCAGTTTTATTACTTTGATGCCTTGCGTATTTTTAAGTATTAAATAAGATAGATATTCCCTTTTTTTCTTAGGTTTACCTTAGTGTGTTTCCTCAAATAACTCAAGGTTTCTTATCAATCTGGATCCAAATTATGGATTCTCGCTTATTGATACTTACTGTGCCGTTATATAAGTTGCAGCAGCAGTGCAGTGCTTCATGGTGTCACTTCTCGTTGTTGAAGATCCACGGTGGCACT